AGCCTCCTGAGTAGCTGGGACTACAGGCACGTGCCACCATGCCCAGCTAATTTTTTGTAGTTTTAGTAGAGACGGGGTTTCACTATGTTGACCAGGATGGTCTTGATCTCTTGACCTTGTGATCCACCCGCCTCGGCCTCCCAAAGTGCTGGGATTACAGGCTTGAGCCACCGCGCCCGGCCTCTGAACAGCCTTAAGAGGACTGCGGGTGCTGAAAAGGCCTTTTATCTTTTCCTCTTACTCTCACTCTTTCTGCAATATTTCAATCATTAATCAGTCATTCAAGGCACAACAGAAGCTGGCATGATGGTGCATACCTATGGTCCCAGCTACTTAGGAGGCTGAAGTGGGAGGATCCCTTGAGCCCAGGAGTTTGAGGCTGTAATGAGCTATAATTTTGCCACATACTGCAGCCTGGGCAACAGGGCAAGACCCTGTTTCAAAAATAAAAGACACAACAGAATTATATGTTAATTAACAGTGCTTTAGAGGTGGGAAGAATATACCAGGAACATACTAGCAACTGGATTTCTAAAGCAGTTCATAATAACATTAAAATTCATACATCTCTATATTTGAAGTTATTGTGGAATATGCATTCTATCATCCTTTTTCAACATTTCACTATTTATTGCACAAAGATAGGCCCTGGAGAACACCACAGTTCTGCTCAGTGTCACATTAGAAATTTCTCTGTTGTAAAAAAAAAATGGACAAGTTATTCCTGCATCACCATAGTGATAGAATTTAATAATTTGATTTAAAATAGAATATGCAAAAATAAATCATGTAAAAAGAAATGGTGTGAGCTTGACAATAGGCAGACAGAAATTCAGATTCTGGCCCCACCCCCGACCACTGTGTGAGACTTTAGGCAAATTACTTTTATGAGAAAATTAACAGAATCTATTCTCATATGGTTTTGGGATTAAATAAGTAGATATCCCAAGTTCTCAAAATAGTACCTGGCACTTAGTAAGCACTAGGTAAGTGTTATCGCTTGCTAGGATGTGACTGATGCAGAAACTGACACCCAGAGCGGGTGCCCACCTTCACGGGTTCCCAGAAACAGATGAGACCAAAGCTGAAATCAGCTGTTTCTTTTATATTTATTCTTTCAAATTACAGAAAGCTACAGATAAAAACTGCCTTGTGAGCGAGGCCAGGAATCCCTTCCAGACTTATCAGGAATAAAACACCTTTAGCCAAAGCCTCTGTTCCAGCTTTCTGAACCCCGGGCCTGACAGAGTTACAGAGACCAGTTCTCCCTTGAGGCCTCGCTATCCTAGGCTAATCCTAACTTCTCCAGCTGAGCTTGTTTCATCCATTTTAATACACATGGAAATCATGTTGGAGCAATAACCTTTGCATCCTAATAACTATCTTGTTTTTCCTCTAGGGTTAGATTCTGGGATTGAGGGATGAGGGATTTCAAAAACAAATAACATTTCAATAAATCTGTTAGACCAACATAGGGCTGCCAAATTTTCTTACTTTGCTAAAGAAGAGGTTAGAAAAAATATAAGCTGCTTCCATCTCCCACCACCATCACTTCATAAAAGAAAGGACATTTCAAAACCAGGCCAGTAACTGACATGACTCAAGAGTACAGTCTTCGGACCACGAGGCTCCTGTGTCTTGTTCAGCTGGCTAGGTTTTGAATTCCCCAGGGAATGTGTCTGACTCATATTTAAATGTCCGGCTCCAGTCAGCGGGCATAGTAGCTCATGCCTGTAATCCCAGCACTTTGGGAGGCCAAGGCGGGTGGATCACTTGAGGTCAGGAGTTCGAGACCAGCCTGGCCAACATGGTGAAACCCAGTCTGCGCTAAAAATACAAAAATTAGCTGTGTGCGGTGGTACACACCTGTAATTCCAGCTATTCAGGAGGCTAAGGCAGAGGTTGCAGTGAGCTGCGATCACTGCACTCCAGCCTGGGCAAAACAGCAAGACTCTATCTCAATAAATAAATAAATAAATAAATAAATAAATGTCAGTGCTATCTGAAATATGTGAATCGGTTAAACAACAGCCGGTATTTGATGTGGTATTGACAGA